AAATGGGGGAAAAGCTGCGCAGTTAAGTAAATAAGAAAATGACACCTGGAAATGTTCGCATTCTAGAGCATTTCCGGGGCTAGACGAATAAACTGAATGACATTGTTGTCACGAAATAATGCCAATGTTAACTATTGTAACAGTCCGAGAGTCCCGCAAGGCCTAGGGGCTTCAAATACTTAAACTAAATGATATATACAAAGAAATGAGTTTAATTCAATGACATCTTAGATCTTGAGGCAAACCACTGACACTATAATATTTTTGCCATAACGCTGTCTAGTGACATTTAGTTCTGTGTTATTGAAAATGTCGGCCAATCTAACCAAAAATAAAAAAACTATATTTTTGACTTCGTACATGAAACTCGTCAAGAAATTTCATTTTTTCAGCACGGTAAGGTCATTTCAGAAGTTCCAAGTTCACCATAACGTACGTAAACTTATGTGCATTTGGTCATTTTTAAGACCGATGTTCATATGCGCCTGTGAGGTTTTCCAGTATTCTACTGCTGTCACCCTATATAACTATAAGTTATTACGTCGTTAGTACCCCTTTCAGATTCCTTGTGCCATAAATAACATATAACGTACGTGCCAGGTCATCCACATCTGCAGCGTTATGTGTGTTTCCCTCTGTCTGCAACGAGCAACCACAATGAGTTGCACCGAATATTTTATAGCGGTCATTCGTTTACTACAATATGATTCATAGAGGGCGCACTACCTTAGATGCATCTGGAGGCTTGCGGAAAGCTGACACGTGGGCGAGGTTCAAAATGAAGAATATTGTCTTAAATTGTTGCATACATCTAAGATATATCTGAAAAAAACGTTGACGTTTTGTTATATACCGACACCGACCTACTAGTAAACGTGGTGCAGCAGTTGTCAGAAAGGCAAGGAGGAAGTTCTTCAGGGAACGTGTGGAACTGATATCTATCAAGCACACTCTAAAATCATCCTTGAAGTTACTTCCGTAAGGTGACAAACTATAGAGATTTCTAAGGACTCGGGCAGACAGAAAGCGTCCAATCGTTCCGAGTTCCGCGTTCTGCGTTCCACGTCCTTTGTAAGTAACAGATCTCTATAGGGTCGTGCAGACACAGCGGCACAGTGGGGTGAAACTCATATTGGCGAATGGGAAACAAAGCAGTGTTGCTGGTGCATAATGACAACCATGTCGCACCCTCAAAAAATGGCGACTTATTCACAACTGACATTGTCTGATTGGCCAGATTTAAATTTCCGGCGGGTTTCTTCCTGTGCTCTATGCTTTGCAAAAATAACCTTACTTTTTTCAGCATTCAGCATGTCATTTTCTCAACATTTCATTTTAATTAAGTAAAGTCCCTATTATGTTATTTGAGCTATATGCATTTTGTTCGGAGTTGTGAAGTATAACAATCTAAGTACACAAACTCCACATCAAAATTGTTTCTTTTTTAAGGTGATCCAAGTCATTAGCCAGGCTTCTGGCAGATTCTGAGGAAGATCAGAGATGCAGCGGTTACTCATTTTAGGAATGTAATATTTGAAGATCGTACCTGTTTGTATCTCCTCATAACTCTTTGAACAGTGGAGCGTCACGAAAAGTTCAACAGCTGCTGTTGTTAACCCCTGAGGTCCTGAGAATTATCAGAAGCTCAGAGATTACTTCTGATCTAACCAAAAGACTCAACTTTGAAGAATATTTGCAGAACATAACATTTGTAAGTTTTTATATGACTCGATAACTAGTGATGATTTGTACTGCTTTTTGTCCAAGTTAGTTTTCATACTTTGTTTTAAATCAGCCATTCTCAGAGCAGTAGGGTTGATATGTAAAGCTTACTGTAATTTTAATGAAATCAAAGCCCAGTATATTGAACAGTAACATGGGTGCCTACAGGGTGCTGTGGTAACAGTTATCTCTTGATGATGATCAGCACATTGGGAAAAATTCCTGTGAATACCCGTGGACAATCATATTATTATTCCAATAAAAAAAGAAACCTGTGAATTGTAGTAACATATCAACACAATTAAATTGTTTTCTAATTTTTGATTTATGCAGGTGCCAACAAAGGCTGGGGAATGAAAACATCTAGACCATAATGATGTTAATACTGATTTGTTTGTAGAAAAATGTATGAGATTTATATAACAAATAAATATTTAGGTATTTGCAGTATATGTTTTTCTTCTGAATCTTTCCAGATTAGTAAGTACATATGACTGATCTTATAACAACTTGTGTTATTGATGTTGCTATTTTAACATACATTTATTCATCAAGATAGCGCAAAATGTTAATAACACATGCTGTTATAAGATCTTCCATATCCCACCAAATTTCTATATATATAAGTATAGCAATCTCAGATTTATATGTAGAGCTGGCAACCTTGCGGGATATTAATGCACAATCTGGCAACCATGTCGCACCCTCAAAAAATGGCGGCTGACAACCATACAAGTCACCGTGTTGCCATTGAATAGCGTGGAATTAAACCTTCTTCAGTGTATACACCTTAGGAAAAACCATTGTTATACATGGGAAATCATTTCTCATTCATTTCAGCTGAATGCTGCTGGAGTATAGTGTTTCGAATATTCAAAGCGGAGCGGGACACTATACTCGTTCAATGGGCCATCAAGCCACAGTCTTTTCAACAAAGAAATTATTTTACGAAAATGCGTTATATTTTTACGATTTTGTCGTCACCAAATCTCTGTTTCTCAAAATGTACGTCTATTGTAGAATTTTCAGCAAACTAAGCAAGAAACGTGATCTAGTATTTACTCAACATTACGGATTTCTCGAAATACATTAAAAAATGTGACCTAGATACCTAACTGCCCCAAGCTCTTTAAATATAACACCTTAAACCAGGGTTACCAGGTGCTCAGTCACGTTGATTGTCATGTTGTACTGCGCAAGTCAGCAAACAATCTGGCGTAATAAACGTTAGGAATCATCAGGTATTGCCAGATTCCCGAATACCGGGCACCATAGTAACCGTTATAGTTGTCCTTCAAAGTTGTCAAATCGCCCCTATGGCGCAAATTCGCCACACCAGGCAACTGTGCTATAAACAAACCCTGTTTATCACTACTATTTGATAGTCATATGGTAGTTGTAGCCCTATCTAGCGGTCCATGATTTCTCTCAATACTGTTGTATCTCTACTGGCAACAAGAATAGGGATTACAAAATCATTTATACAACAATATACAAACATGGAAAATATGATTTGAACCATGAAACATTAATACAATTTTAATAGTTTGAACTTTTTTCATTTTTGGAATACTCTTATGTGGAATCCGCAGCTATTTTTCCCGAAATTTGGGTAGACTTAGATTTCTTAGAAATATGACATATTGGTATCGGCAACTCTGCGAATGGGAGAAACAAATCGCATTTGTTGAGCGCATCCGTCTAAGCGGTAGGCGCCAGCGCCCGTTCTACCATCTCTCTCTTTTATCACTCTTCCTACCTTAACCCCGTTGTCCGTCACACTAAGACGCTGTCACATAGGATCCTACAATCGAGTGTCTTTCACGCACCTACATACTTTTGTATATTTCCATCTCTCTTCCTCATCATAATGTATAATAATGTTTTTTCCCAAGGTGTGCAGCGGCTGTTAGACCGCGCCGATCAGTGTGAACGCACTGGGGTTCTATTTTCAGAAATACAAAGAACCAGAACATAGAAAAATTACTTGATTTAGTAAGAGAAAGGCACTTTTATATGATCTTGGTAACGCAGACTATAAAAATATTTTTTAAAAAAATTCAGCATGGCTTAAAATAGCCACGAAAATGGGAAAATACAATCTTTTGTTTATAGATATAGCCTTTCCCCTGTTGGTGTCTTGTTTCTCTATTTCCTCTTTTATATAATCGTGCAATTAATTAAAACTACTTGATGACATTCGAAAGTAAATAAAAAATCGTTCTTCATCTGCAAGCAATACAGGAAATAGAACACTGAACTCTCCTTTTTCATCTCTCTCACAATCAATTGGATGCACCCAGTATCTTTTTTTTTTTTGTTAGACTCTTCCAAACTTCACAAAAGCAATGCTTCGTCTTCTAAAGTGGAACTGTCGAAATACATGTTTCACCTACAAGTAATCTTCGTTAAATGGAACCCAGTGCTGGTGACTGCCTCCTATCTGTGTTCGAACTCATAAGAGGAATTGACCGAACGAACCCAACTTGAACGCTGAACGCTTCTCTGTCTGCACGAGCCCTTAAAGGGTAATGTGTTACTTTGGCGATCTTCTCTATGTCTCGCGGCCAGCGATGAATTGTTTCTCTTATGGGGGATGTTAAAGACAAAGTCACCAAGCAGCAACTACTATCTGGTATACGGACATTATTATTGATTGTTACGAACTAGTTGTGGATGGCACAGTTCCGTCCCTATGATGTATATTGAGCCTCATAAGCAATATTGACAGAAATTGACAAGGGTCTTAACCTTTGCTTTGATAGCGTTTGACATGGAGCTCATAAAAAGAAACATCGAACATGTACAATTCAGAAATATATGTTTTGCTACGCTGCGCTGTGTACTATTTGCTGCCTGTACTAGGTTTCACAGCACTTAAATCTTAGAAAATAGTTCACTTTTCCAGTTATGTTTTGTACATTATTTTTGGTTTTTGACTGTACTAACAAAATAATCACACGTGATCTTCACCTGCAGGATAAATACCGACGATAAAAATCATTGGAAACTGTCCATTGCCGTTATATCCGACATTGATATTGCAACGACACGTGTTTTTGCCAAGGTGCATGAGAATTATCATGTACAAAGACAAGAGTAAAGGATGTACGGGGTGCGTCAGAGAGGATGGACGGTTTTAAAAAAATCATAAAATAGTTAATTTTTACTCGAAAACAAATTTATTGATGAAATCAGATTCACAAGGAAATAGCATTTGATACAGTCAAGTGTGGAAAATCACATCAGGCATGTGGTGGCCGAAATCGTTGATGCAGTGCTGGAGGCGTTCTTGGAAGTTCGCGTAGTCTCTCTCCAACATCCCTCTCTCAACTTGGGCGACTTCCACGCGAATTTCGCCCTTCAATTCGTCCAGAGTTCTGGGCTTGTTCGCGAATACTCTAGCGTTGAGGTGCTCCCATAAGAAAAGATCGCATATGGATAAATCTGGGGACCGAGGAGGCCAATGATCAGTGCTTCCATCTCACGTGCGAAGTTCATTCGTTGTACATAATCTCCGGGCTGTAACTGTTGCACAATGGCCAATTTGTAGGGGTGAAAGCGGAGATCCATATGCAAAATTTGCCTTACCGAACGATCACTGAGGCGAAGTGCAGCAGCATGTTTCCGGGCAGATCGAATCGGACTGCGAAGAAAGACCTGTCGAACGCGTTCAACATTTTCAGGAGTTCGAACTGTTCGCGGCGCCCCTCTTGGTCTTCTGTTGATCAGTTCACCACGCCTGCGAAGTGATTCAACCCAACGAAGGATGGTGTTTCGAAAGGGAACAGCTCTATTCCGATGAATGTTGAAGTGGCGACGAAACTCACGCTGTACGACGATGACTGACTCATTATTTCGGACGAAACAATCATAGGCGAAAACGCGGTGCTCCACCGTCCAAGGCTCCATAACGACAACTGGTAAAATAATGCTAGGATCTCACGAGTCAAACGGCACCCTCCCCACCTCTCTCGTAGACGGGGCCGGGGAGTACTACCCATCCCAAAAACTTCCGTCCTCTCTGCCGCACCCTGTACATGGTGTTCATGATGATAAAGTTTAAACTAAATTGAGCTTATATTATTGCTTCGGACTCTCAGATATTATGGCATCCTAGACAACAGTAGAATATGTGATTTCACACTTTTAGAATTTTTCATTTGAGGCTATGTCTACAAGAATAGTGAAGTAAGATCGATGAACTATAAACTAGAATTCTCATAAGCATAAATACGCATTTGCATCGTCAGAAACTATAATTCCAAATATACCACTTTACCCACACATTACGCATGATAAGGATAACCCAACGCAGTTGATAATAATAATAATAATAATAATAAATGGCCTTTATTCGTCACACGATTACAAAATAATTGGGTTAAAAGGAACAGTGACGAAAAGGTGGAGTGTCAGCTTATGCTGTTTTTCAACCCGACCTGGAAAACATTGACACAAACTATAGAGAGAGAGAAAAAAAAACTTAGAATATAACACTTATCAGAGAAAGGAAACAATCAATTACCTGTGGATATGCATAAAGTAAAATTTTAGCCATCCGACTGCTTTAAACTCATCTTTAACCTTTTTTTAAAATTGCTTAGGATATATTCTTTATACTCACTTGATAAGCAGTTATATAGTTTGGGTGCCCAGTACGAGAAACTGCGTGTGAACAATGCTGTCGAATGCCGCGGGATAAGTAAGATGAGTTTATTCCTAGAGGATCTTCGATCGTACTGGCAGAGGAGGCTTAGTTTTGTATAAAGATAATATGGCGCCTCAAGAATAAGGGTCTTATGTACCAGAGATAGGCAATGCAGTTTCCTCAATTTGTTCATGTTATGCCATCCCGATTGGCCAAAAGCGCTACTAATATGATCAAATTTACGGATTCCATAAGAAAATCTGATGCATGAGTTTTGTATCATCTGAATCCGCTCGGCATCACGTTGTAAAAGAGCAGGTCCATAAACAGAGTCACCGTAAGATAATTTTGACAGGATGAGGGACTCGCAGAGTTTAAGCTTGAGCTGTGTCGACAGGACACTTCGACTCGGGTATAACTGACGAAGCACATTATAGGACGCATTGCATAGTTGGTTAACATGTTTAGTGAAGCGTAGCTTGCAGTCAAACCAGATACCAAGGTTTTTGCATTCGTTTACGAAGGATATGTCTTCATTATTCACCATAATATTAATACGATATTGATTTATTTCACGATTCTTTTTGGGCCCAAATAAAATGCAGCATGATTTACCAGGATTTAGTTTTAGATTGTGAGCACTAGATATGTCAAAAATAGACTGCATATCTTAATTGATTTATAATAATAATAATAATAATAAAGGGTCTTTATTGCACTAAACATTTAGTACATTACGAGGGGCGAGGTTTAGCCTGAGCTATTCTTCCACCTAACCCCGTTTTGATAATTTATACGAAATTACATAGAAGTGGATGACAATAACTATGGTACATACATTTAAATCGGTTTGTTTTAAACCAACAAAACTGTGATCAAAGGGATTTTTTTTTAAAATCAACCATCATTAACCAATAAAAAAATATAAGTGGCAATTCATGTTTGCGAGAGAAGATCGGACTTCAATTTTAATTTAAAAGTTTTAATATTCGAAATATTTTTAAAATGAAAATTAATACTGTTGTAATATTTAACGGCATTGTAAATAAAGGTTCTTGAATATAAAACAGTACGATGGACTGGCAGTAGAAAGAAAGCCTGATGCCTTGTGTTAATATTATGCGTGCTGGATCTGGTAATAAATTTTTCAAACAGGTATGGGGGTGATGCGGATAGTAAAATACGATGCACAGAACTTATAACAGAATATTTGTATAGATTATCTATAGTTAACCAATTGAGGTCAGAATACGTATGCGATATATGATCAAATTTCCTCAAATTATTTATGTACCTACTACAGGTATTTTGCATTATCTGTAGACGTCTTTTATTCGCAGCAGTTAGGCAGGGGTAATAAATTATTAGCCCATACGAAATCTTAGACAATACCAAGCTATCACATAGCTGTTCTTTCAATTGCTTACCAGTGATGCAATTGTTTGCAAATAGAAGCCGGAGCGAACCGTAACATTGCCTCAAAACGTGCTGTAAGTGTTTTTCGAACCTCAGGTCTTCATCTAAATGTAAGCCCAAATTTTTGGCACATTCTGAATAAGGGATGATTTCTCCTTCGATTTGAACGTTAATTTTGCTTATAAGATTTGCTCTTATTTTGATATTGCCAAATAGCAATGCTTTACACTTCGATGGGTTGAGCTTGAGGTAATGTAACTTGCAATAGCGGCTAATACTTGACAAATCTTCATTGATTTGGTCTTGGGCTTCAGAGTAGCGTGAGGCTGGAAAATCATACTTTACCTGAGTGTCATCGGCAAAGAATTGCACATGACAGTGCTTGACAGTATCTTGAAGATCCGCGGTGTATAACAAAAAAAGCAATGGAGCTAATACGGAGCCTTGAGGTACTCCGGACTGAACTTTATTTGGCAAAGACATCTGACCATCAACCACAGCCACTTGCGACCGATCACTTAAATATGACTTGATGAGCTTACAAGCAAGATCATCAAAGCCATAGTAATGACATTTGGCTACAAGCAGTTTGTGATTCAATGTATCAAATGCTTTCAAGAAATCTAAAAGGACAAGAGCACACAAGTTTTTATTGTCAAGCGCGGAAATTATGCCATCGATCAAGTCCACTAAAGCCGTAGTAGTGCTATGATTTTTTTTAAAACCCGATTGATGAACACTTATAATATTATTTTTGTCCAAGTACTCGTAGATCTGGATATAAGCTGCGCGTTCCAGTATTTTGGATAGAAGAGGCAAAAGACTTATCGGTCGTAGGTCGTCAAATGACAAAGGATTCGAGGTTTTAGCGAGTGGTTTTACCATTGCTGTTTTCCACGCGCTTGGAAAATAGCCTCTCTCTAAGCATAGATTGATAATATGCAACAAATAAAGATTTATATCGGGATAGCATAATTTTAACATTCGCAACGTAACTCCGTCATTACCAGATGCATTGGAATCAAAATGACTGATTATAGATGCTAAGCTTGTCAAGTCAATTAAATTGAAAGAAAACCTCTCAGAACTATGTCTGTTGTTACGATAATGAATTATTTTGTCAATACATTGTTCATCACTATTCTTAAAAATTGAGGTAAAGTAATCATTCACTTTATATGGATTGGAAAGGTGGACCGGAATGTTCGGAGGCTCTTTATTACTTTGTATGTGCATTTGTTTCAATGATCTGTAAAGAGATTTAGAGTTTTTATTTTTATGTAGATGTTCCAAATAGGCTGATTTTTCTTTGCGTAATGATAGCAAGCAGTAATTTCTGAGACTTTTATAGCTGTTCCAGTTTTCTTCTGATGGATCCATTTTATATTTGGAGAGAGCTTCACCCCTTTCCCTGAATAACATTTGTACGTTTGCAGTACGCCAAGGCGCTTTTGGCTTTGTGACTCGTACTGTTCGTTCAGGACAGTGCAAGTCAAAAAGTGACAATAAGTTTGATGTCAAAAACTGAACTTTGCTTTCTATGTCGCTGAAGTAAAGTATGCTTTCCCAGTCTATCCGATAAAGGTCATTATCAAATGCCTCTAAGTTAATGTTGTTAAAGTCTCTGTATGTTACAAATTTTGGTTCACATTTGATTGAACATTTAACATCACAATATACCATCTGATGGTCACTAAAGCTATCAGCATTCATTGTACCACTAGAAACATATGAAGTAGAAGAACTTATAAATATAGGATCTAATAATGTAGAAGTTCTCTCTGTTATTCTAGTCGGTTCACTTATAATTTGGGTCATACCATATATTTCAAAACAATCATTTATTTTATTTTCCACGAGCATGTTAATATTAAAATCACCCAACACCAGTATATTGTCATATTCGCTTATGAGTTGTGGTAGTAGATTATCCAAGAATTCTAACATACTTGATAAGTTTTCATTTGGAGGCTTATAAATAACTCCTACACAGTAACTTGTATTACCAATTTTAAACGAGAGAAACAGAAATTCTATTTTCAGCTCGTTGTAGCTATTATCAAAGCTCAGTACCTGTACATTGCTGACAGTATCGCTCTTTATAAAAATAGCAACACCTCCACCTCTACCCTGCCTATCGCATCTAAATAAATTAAAACCTCTTATGCTAACAACATCTGAAGGGATATTATCGGAGAGCCACGTTTCGGATACACCAACTATGTGCAAGTCATTATCCTCTACCAATGACTTGAAACAATCAAAACCGGAAACCAACGATCTTGCATTAACATGAGCAATCCTGAGATTTTTAAGCCTTAGTTTATTTCCCATAGTTTATTTTAGCCCTCAAATTATTAAAGTGACTTTGTAATATTGGACAATCATTCTGATTGAATGATGAGTGATTGATATCGTGGTTAGCGTTATATTTTTGATTGTTTTTTACACAATTTATACATCTTACCGTATTCGATGAACATTCCTTCAGACGATGCTCGCCACTACATAATGGACATATTATAGGTGACTGACAATTTTTTTCCAGATGACCGATTCCACTACATTTGAAACATCTAGTTATCCTAATATGATCACTCACTTGGCACTTATTCCAACCAACATATACATAACCGCGATCGATAAGAAAATTTCTCACTGTAGGCGACACTTCTAGTATCAAATTCGTGGAGTTTTTATGTTTTGTCTTCGCCACCAATTTAATTTCGTGTTCTTGAAAATCTTCTAAGCCATTAACAGTTCGTATATTCTGGAGAATATCATCATCTGTAGAGTTCTTATCTAAAAGAACATTTTTCACAAGTAGTCGAGGGTTGAATAACTTACCCTTGTCAACCTCATATTTGGCACCTAATTTCGTTTCAATATGCTGCCGTAGCGTATGCATAGAGCCTTCATCAGCGCAGCGAATTATTACGCCGTTCTTAATTTTTTTGACGCCATCTAGGCAAAGTTTTAATTGAGTAGGATTGACGTGTTTGTGGACATCACTGAGCACATCATTGCTGGAAATGGAAGAGTTATTTGCTTTCACAACAATACCTTGTGATTTTTGGGTATTAGTATTAGATTTGATGTTGGCCAAGCATATATTCATCAGGATCGAAGCAGTTATAAAGTTGGGTATCATCGGCGTAATGATGAACGATTGAGTAGCTGGCGGTTTCATGAAAATCACATATATAAAGAGCAAATAAAAGGGGACTCAAAATAGATCCTTGAGGGACACCAAAATTTCTGAATAAAGAAGTTGATATATTGTTTTCATATATGACAGACTGTTAGCGATCAGTTAAAAAGCTCTTAATCAGCGTGCAAGCCGATGATGACAGGCCAAAGTATCTAAGCTTTTTACAGAGAATATTTGGGTCAACCGTATCGAAGGCCTTGCTAAAATCAAGAAGAACTAAGCAGGACAGCTTTCCTTGATCAGCCGCGCTATAAATATTATCCGATATAGACAGGAGCGCAGTGGTGGTGCTATGTAATGGTCTGAAGCCAGATTGGGAGGTGGTCAGTAAATTATTTTGACAAACAAATGTGTGCAGCTGCTCATGTAGAGCCATTTCCAAAAGCTTAGATAAACTTGGTAAAATGCTTATAGGACGAAGATCAGAAAAACTTGAAGGATAATTAGATTTAGGCAGAGGGAGAACAAGAGCATTCTTCCAGGAAGAGGGATAAAGATTATTTGTTATACAAAAGTTAATAATGAAGGTAATATACTTGAGCAAATGCTTATGTATTATACTGATCATATCAATTGTGATGCCATCTGAGCCTTTAGCATGACTTTTTATGCGATTGATAAATTTCTCTACAGTGGCAGGGGAAACTGTCGTGAACAGAAAAGTACCACTATTCTTGACGTTTTCATATTTGTCTAAAAGGTTCAATTGAGTTAATGATTTGGTTGTTTGAGGTACGTTTAAAAAAGCACTATTTAATGAATCGAGATCCTGAAGATGTGTAGGTAGGCTTATGGAGTTATGTTTAACGATATTCAAAGGTCTAAGTATATTCCATATAGTCTTCGAATTTTTATGTCTCATAACATAATCGAGGTAGGCTTTTTTCTCTCGCCTAATAGCACCACAAACATAATTTCTGATTTTCTTATAGAATTCCCAGGCAGCAATCGTTCCTGTACGTTTAAATTTTTTATATGCGTCACATTTTGTTCGCATCATGAGGTTTATGTTGAATGTTCGCCAAGGAGCTGGTGGCTTGGTAACTCTAATGTTTCTGACAGGAGCATGCAAGTTGAAGGTGCACAAGATATTAGAGCTCAGGAAGTCAATCATTTGATCCACATCTCTCAACATATATATAAAATCCCAGTTTATTAAAAGTAAATCATGGTAGAAATTGTCTAAGCTAAAGGTAGAGTAATCACGATATGTCCTCAGTTTACATAGGTTGCTTATCTCCGATGCATCTACATAAAATATTAGGGCTAGATGGTCAGATATTCCATCTACGTCAACAACTTCATAACCATTTATTATATCAGCAGAGCTAACCATGAGCAAGTCTATAGCTGTCTGGCTATTGGAAGTTATACGTGTGGGCTCTTTCACTAACTGAGACAGATCAAAAGACTCAAGAAAACAGTTCAGCATCTCGGATCGGCCGTCGTTCACTAAAACATTAATATTAAAATCGCCCATGACAATTGCGTAATCATTATCGAGTGAAAGGTTGCTTAAAGACTCAGTTAATTGATGGAAACAGTCAAGCACGTTTGCCGATGGTGGACGGTAGACTATAGCTAGACAATATTTGCGTTGATTAACCTTTACAGAGATCCAAAGTTCTTCCAATACTGTGGTGATATTAGAGTGCAATATTTTGAAGGCAATACCATTTCTCACATAAAACGCGACGCCCCCGCCTCTGCTATTTCGATCTGCTCTAACGACATTGAAGTCGTTGATAAATACTGAGGAGGAATCAATATCTGGGGTTAGCCAAGTCTCACTGAGACCCAGGACATCGACAGCACAGTCAACAACATACTCCTTCAAAGTTAGAAAACCAGACTGAATTGACCTTACGTTGAAGCTCATGAATTTTAGACGTCTAGACATATTGGAAAGGCTTATTCTTAAAGAGCACCCAACGTATTTTGCAAGTGAAATGAGTATAACCACATGATAAATATATTAGATCTATACAGAATAAAGACAATGCAACAAATATATGCAATACTAATAAAAACACCCGGATAAACAGAACAGAATAATAAATCAATAAAACAAGGTATAGGAAGGCGATGAGCGTTTGAGAATTCACGCAAAAAAAACACACAACACAAGCAGACACAGTTCAGTTACTTTGAAGTACTGCGTAGTTTAGGCCCTTTGTGTGAAGACGTAGGAGTACTTTTAGATGGGCCTGCTGGAACTAACTTGTTGACCCTGCTTGGTTCATATTGCAGTCTATTTTCCCCTCTTTTCGTATCTTGAGGGATCAGTTGTTCTTGGGTATTTTTATCCTGCTTAGAGATAACTGTCTCAATGATTCCTTCAGCCTGATGGTCGCCAATATCGTCATTCTGTAGCTTTTCCCAGGAAAATGCTTCGCCATTGACATAAAGAATATTGTTTTTAATAAACGCAGAATTAGATGCTTCTCGGGCTTTCTTCAGGTGCTGATGAAGTAATTTTCTCTTGGCGTATTCTTCTGGAGTGTAATCGTTATCGACAAACAGGCCAACACCTTTAGGAAGTTTTCTTGCCTTCTCCAAAACTTTTTGTTTTACGTTGTAATTAACGAATTCGACGACAAGTGGCCTAGCTCTATTATCAGAATCGGATAGCCTTTTGCCAACACGGAAACAGTCCCTTACGGCACTTGGGGAAGTTTGAAATTCTAATTTTCCTTCGATAGTGCTTAAAGTATCTTCCATAGGCCCCTTATCACTTTCCTTTACCCCATAGATGACTATGTTATAATTTTTCACCTTATTCTCTAGATTAAGGATTTTGATTTTCAATAATGACTTTTCCTTCTCGATATCTCTATACTTATTATTGATGTTGTTTATTTCTTTTTTGGCTTCATTAACAGTCTCGCTCAAGCTATTAATTTGTCCCTTGAGTTCTTGATTACCCTCCTTGATCAGCTTGTATATGTCCTCGAGGGTTACTCCTGTTGTAACCATTATTCACGTGATCTCTACCAGTCTATCTGTATGGTAACTTTATCGTGCGGTAGTGTGTTCCGTCGACTTTGCTTTTGTATTCGTTTTTTAGATGAGTCACCCTCTGGGAGAAAACTGGCTGTACGAAATACTTACATTCCAGCATTATTACTTTAACCATCACGTACTCAAAGCAACGATTTACTTTTTGCTACAATGTACCCGACTCGCAAACGGCACACCAGTGGAAACCCGAAAAGTTCAGCTTTTCCCATCTGACCAGCAGCAAGTTGACTAGGTAGAGGCACTCAAACTTAATTGACTGTAAAGTGAGTCGGTGGCAAACATTTTGATTGTGTCTAGACGTCGTAAACCTCCACATTTGGGAAACCGCTCTGCTGGAGTAGTTGCATTTCTAGGTAGCCTCAACTGGAATACTAGATTTACATCCCGGCTGGCGGCTAGGCCTATCCAATTACCTCCGTCAGTAATTATGCTAGTTGCTTTGTTATTAATAGGCAGGTGTTATTACTCAGTTAACGTATGTTTTCAAAGTCATCCTGTTGAAAGAAGAATTCAGGTTGACAGTGAGCTTTAAACTTCATTTGTATTAAGAGACGCAGATACTCTATGGCATGCTCATTTGCTATAGTTAAAATACTCCATTTCACGACCGTTACGAGGACTTATTTTTATTTTGCTTCAACATTGACTTCTAGTATTGTTTTCATGATTAAATAGTTCATATCTCGTTATCAAAACACTTATTTTGCCGACTTTACAAATTTAGCTGTTTACCGCTGATACTTTGAACCCTGTCATCTTTAGCTTCATCACCATAATTCTGATTTTGGTCACCAACCTGTGTTGTGTTGCTCTTGATTAGACTCTAGTGAATCACTTGAAGTAACATTGTGCCACTGGCTACCTAATCGCTTAACAATACAAGATTACTAAAAGCATGTATATGCAATAGCAACTTCTTAGTTAGTCGTCTCCACCTGAATGCGAAAACAAAAAGCCGTCCCCTTTGCCAGGCATCGCAATAGAAGGTAATAACAAATTACTTTTTCGTCTAAAAACTACGATGTTCAAACACGTACAGAATTTCACAAATTATTAAAACCAAGTCACATAACACCTACTTTATAAGGGAATCTGTAATGCTAAGGTTTATCACTAAGTTTGTAGCTCCATCTCAGGGACATTCTCCGAACTTTTTATAGAACCTTTACGAACTGTTATAGAACCCCTCAAAAATATTGAATACCTAGCGCCATCTTTGGACTTCTCTATTACAGTGTGGCCCTAAATTTGAATTTTATATTCAAATTATATATAAGGTATTTTAGGTACAATAACGCTCGACCTGATTATATTTTTAAAATGTGTATTTTTTTAATACAATACATAAAAATAACAGTTATGCAAGTTGTTAGGAATCTAAAAGTAGTCGGTATTACCGATGTACTATCGCGTGCATAAGAAACTTTAACAGCATCTATTGTTATCAAACATGCATTGCCACGGATCTCTTATCAGTGTGACAGTGCCTTGTTATCTCTTTATAAGATAAGGTCATCGATAGTTCAGGAGATATTCGATGTCCATGTGTTTTCTGCACGTGGTAGTACCTATGTAAAGTATAAAATAACACTCTTCTTGACAACAAATGAGTAATTAATTTATAAAAGTTAAAATAGGAAAATGTTTAACTAAGTATTAAAATAAAACTGAAATATTCTTAATAAATTCAAAAATAAATTTCAAAAAAGGAATATACTGAAAGTAAAATAATAAAAAATAAAAATAGATACCTTTAGCAGTTGCTGAATTTCTAGAAGGAGTACTTAAGTTGATGTCTTCAGATAATCCTGCTTTTGGGCTATAGCTTTCAGTCCAGCTTTTACCTATGAATAAAGAAAATAAAAATAAAAGGAGTTGAAGACCACATACATATATTTGACTGAATATTATTTTATACATACAAGTTTGAAAATTTATTTTATTGAATTAAATTTAAGTTTTTTTTTAAACTAAATACTTGCAAAATATATACTGAAACATACTTACATCTTAAATGTTTTGCTGGAGCTGAATTCAAGTCTTTAGATGAGCCTGGTCTTGAATGTTCTGAGTAATGTTCAATATTTACTAAACGTTTTCCTAATACAGAAGTTTTTCTTTTAGGACTTGTGTGAGTATATTCAGTAGTACTTTGGATGTTACACTTCTCTGTTGCTGAGCCCTCCTGGTTGCCTGAAAGTTAATTTGTTTTTGAAAAAGTGTTATAATAGTTGAAGTAATTATACATACATATGATAGCTCTCACTTTATTAATGTACATTTTGAACAAGTTTCTAATACTTATAAATCTGTCACTATCTAAAATAAAATAACTATTTTTAAACTTACCTTCTTCATATATAACGTTTTTTTGGACCAACTTGGTTTCTGTTGAAGAACTCTTCAATAAAATTGTTTTAAGGGTCTCTCTCATTTTTGCAGCCAACGGATTAGCAATTTTCCGAAACCATAGCTAAAAAAGAATTGAATTTCATTATATGTTAACAATGCTAGGTAAGTTTTTCAAAAAATTGTGGAAACCGTAAATACTGTGAAAGTTTTTAGGATACCAAAATGTTCGTATCATCTAATCCTAGTTATTCACTGATTGATTTATATATGTAAACAAAGTAATTGCTTACTTGAAGATTGAAGTGCAGAAAGATGTAATGTAAGAAAAGCTGTTTTTTTCAAACCTCTCTTGGTTCCAGGCACTTTATCACTTTTCGAAAAAGTAAGTTTGTGAATTGAAATTCAGTTAATGAATATCAGTATCACGGACACAGAACTAATAAAAACGCCGGCGCCGCACACGATTCAACTTATATTCAACGTGATTCAACGTATATCAACGTCGAAGCATTGAACTGTCAAAAAGAACGGAAAACCTAGTATTAGCGCCACTCTGTTGTTACCCTCCGTACTGAGTAGGATATAAGAATATCTGGTTGCCTACAAAATGCACCTCCAAAGTCACTCATTTAACTTTCCCTTATAAAGTAGGTGTTATGTGAACTAAGAACACGCACGGGGACTGACATCTGACAACCTGACAGTTGATTTACTGCGCAGGTCAGTTCATTCAATTCTCCTTTAGGAAGTACCTGATTTACCGTCACAAAGCCGTACCAGAACAATACAAAACTCATTTTAAACGAATACGGTATCGTTGCTATTACGATAAAGAATGGTGGTGGATACATGTTTCTAAGTGCTTAAGCGCGTAATCATTTCAGAACTGTTCTTCGACGAAATGAAACAAAACTTTCAAAATCATCAAGGCACTTCGGCTTGTAAGCTCTAATTGTTAGCCAATATGCAGTGTTTGGAAAGTCGACTGCCTGCTTTTTAAGGGGTTATAATACACGCCATTTGGAGTGACATATAACTCGGTACAAAGTCGAACCATTTTTTAATCACTCGCACTTTTGCGCAATCATATGAGAAAGCAAAATTATGCGACAAACCATAGATAGTTCAGTAACGGAGACCAACGCCTTTGTGTTCTTATTTTTATTGTTTATTCTAAAGTATAATCTACGCATACAGATCTTTTCCAAGCTATCGAAATATTGTGTAACCGTGAACAAAAATAAAGCTGGTTTACTGAATGGATACATTTTCCAGTGTTTCGAGGATTCTCAAACGAATTTATGGAAACAATTTGGCAACAGTTTAGTTTACAAACATCTAAAAGACTGTCATTTAGGTTTTTCGGGCTATTGAGCCGGGGTGGGGTTGGATTTGATCCAGAGCTGTCGGCTACATCTGCGGTAGTCATCTGCAGTGGCGCTATCGGCGAGGGATTTCAAACACGCATTAAGGGACATAAAAGAAACTGTCGACTGGGACAAACTGATAAATCAGCGGTAGCCGAAC